CAATATGACATATACGGATTTATCAAAACGGTCGGCCTCTTTCGTTCGAATATGGATCAAACACCGGCGGATAAATTCTAAAAAAAAAAAAAAAAGAAAAAAAAAAAAGAACGAACCGCAATACTTAGGAACTTCCACTTTTCGTCTTTGACGTCATCAATACGCGGTGCGCAATGACCCGAAGGGAACCTTAACGATGACTGAACGTTAAACTCGACCTTCTCAATGTACACATACACATACATACACACACACACACATTCACATATACATATACATATATATGTATGTCGCTAGGTGAATTATTATCGTTGAAAGCGAGATGAAATTTTTACCGAGTAGAAATATCTCTAAAGGACGATATTACGAAGAAAAAAAAATAGTTAGGAAAACATAAAAAACAATAAGAGAGAAAGAGACAGAAAAGAGAGAGAGAGAGAGAGAGAGAGAGAGAGAGAGAGAGAGACATAGACAGACAGACATACAAACAGGCAGACAGAGAAAGATAAATAGAAAGAGATAGATTAAAACACGAAAAAAATGTTGGTCCTTATCTGTCGAAAACTAATGTAGCGTGTTACGTGTGTGTGTGTGTGTGTATCCCTGATTTGATATTTTTACCATGTTATACATGATAGTTTTGTTGTTTCGTTCGTCTCTTATGATTTTTTGTTTCTTTTTGTTGCATTCTCTCACTAGGTCGAACGATGTCGAGATTGAAAGGAAATGAGTCGAGGGGGTTGGGGGGACCAAGGGCGGGGGGGCAGGGGGCAGGGTGGTAAACGGAGGAAAGTCGTTGTGTGTACTTGAACCTACGCTGCTATCACGGACAAAATTAAACGTCGAATGTGTGCCTCCTCCTCCTCTTCCACCTCCTCTTCCTCCTCCTCCTCCTCCTCCTCTTCCTCCTCCTCCTCCTCATCTTCTTCTCTAATGGAGGTCGCTGTCCGTAACTACAGAGGAGACGGACATAGTTTCCTACTCGGCTCTTGTTTCAGGTCAACTATTAGAATTATCTAGCATCGAATAGGGTAAGCGAGACCAACGCGAACTTTCCTTCAGACCAAAACTGGTACAATCGTATAACCGGATTGGGGGACTACCATTATGTGGGTGTGTGTACTCTTTTCTTATACGACAACGACCGGTAGTTTCATTTGGATAGGGGGTTTTACACACTAGCTATTATAACTTCGAAACAAACACGTTTCTCATTGATATTTTTGATTGATACGTGTTCATACATTTTACTATATATATATATATATATATTTTTAATTGGAATTATTTTCATTATTAAAATATTGACAATTAATAAAGTCTATATTTTAATTATTATAATATAATTCTAATGAAACAATTTATGCAAAAATATATAAATTATTATAATATAATTCTAATGAAACAATTTATGCAAAAATATATAAATTATTAGAATTGAATAGAATTCATTTGTATTATGATCAACACACTTTTAGATTATATTTCATCGTAGGACAATGAAAATTCAAATTTATGGTTATACAAAAAGAACGTAACGAATTATAAATTGAATATTGAAAATAATTAGAAAAAAAAAAATATATATATATATTGAATCAGGATAATATATCACTGTGACATGTGTGTGTAAGAAGCATATAATCGATAGGGGAGCATGATGTTCTTTCTTTTAGATTAACCGGTATTGGGGACTTTTTCGGGGTGGGGTAGGGGGGCAGGGGATTAAATGTGTAAGTTATTCTCTGATGAAATCGTAGAAATAAAACTAATACTCGAGAATCGTAATATTATGAGAAAGTGTATTTCGTGTTGCTAAGGACAACGGTCGTTAAAGGAAACGTCGATATCGATTGCTGTCGCTTACCGAGCACGTTGTTATGGGGGTTGATGATATATCGTAACCAACCATGTACGATGATCATTCGTCACTCGAGAGTAACGGCCAGTAGCACCCCTAACGATCCTAGTAGTCCTGTGTGTTCGCACGTTTCAAAATCGTTGTGGTGGATAAGTTGGTAGGTTGGTAGGTTGGTGGGTGGGTGGGTAGGTGGGTGGGTGATTGGGTTGGTTATTTTCTACTTGTTAGCCACGTTTCGAATCTTTTATTTTCCTTTTTATATTATTTTATTTGTTTCCTTCTTAAAGATAACAATGGCGGAACGAGAAATCGTCGTCGTCGTTGTGGTTGGTTGTGGTTGTGACGTGAAAACGAAGTAAGTCACATTGATAACAAAATTAATGATGACCGGGTTATGCTTTTTTGTTTTTTTTTTTTTTAATTTTTATTTCTTTTTATTCTCTACTACTATTACCACTATATTTCTTCTTCTTCTTCTTCTTCTTCTTTTTCTTTTTCTTCTTCTTTTACTTTTATTTGATTTTATCTGATTAATAAACGTTGATATTATTATTAGTGACGTTTCAATTGTACAACAAGGGCACGAAGAATATGTGAAATTATTTATTATATTAATATATTAATTTATGAGATCGTTATCTCGTTTTAAAATTATCTGAGATATACATGTAAATAGGGTATCTCTAAAGTTATGAATCAACTAAAAGGATTTTTGATAGATTGGATCATTTGCACCGATAATTATAAATAGTGGACTAAATAGAACAATTAAACAAATTCATTTAATAATTTAATTTCGTATAACAATTATTTATATTTTTTTTTTTCAATTATTCATAAGGCACATTTGTTTTTTTTTCTGATTTTTTGAACTCAGTCCATTGTCATAATTATTGGTATATTTCTATTGGGTTTTTTTTTGTTAATAAGGAAAGTGCAAACATTAGTTAAAAACATTTTTATAAACTTTCTTTTCATTCGAGACATGACTTTTGTGACACCCAATATACGTAATTTGTTAATCCAATTCTATCTAATATTACCTTAACGATTAACCAAGAAATTTTCGTTTGTTTCTTCATGATTAATTTAATAAAAAAAAGAGGATAAAGAATAGTGAGAATCGTTTAATCCATCTTGGATAATAATTTCTAATTTTAAAAGTTACCCCCAACTTATGTTTGAAGATCGCGTTTTTATTTAATTAAAATATCTGCAAATCCAATCGGCTGAATTCGTTACGTATCTCATAATACGATCATAATTCATAATCTTACTACGTTTTTTTCTTTTTTTTTTTTTTTTCATTCGAACAGTTTAAATTAGATACGGTAGAAAACGGGAAAGAAGAGATAGAGAGAGAGAGAGAAAAAAACAAATTTTTATCAACAAATACATCAGCTTTCATTTGATAAAATATCATCGTTGGTTTATTTTTTTAAAACTGAAATATCTCTGAAAAGCAAGCACGCTTAATTATCGCACAAATTACGTGATAATAATTCACTTCTTTTGTTTCTTTCGTTCGACCTTGATTTTTATCTTAATTAAATATGATGAAGAGGATAAAAGAAAAGCTAAAAATAACATAATATGATTTTAATTAAAAAAAAAACAAAAATAGCAACGGGCTTCGGCTTTTTTTTTCAGTAAAATATCAACTGTGTTTTCTAATTGAAATTTCGAAAAAATTTTATCAACATTAATCGATGTAACAAAATTTCTCGAAATATGTAATAACATTTAATTATAACGTATCTCTCATGTGAAAATAACTTATTGTTCATATTTTATTTCGTTTCACACCAATTTCTTCGTCTTAATTAAATACGAACAATAAAAGCATAATTTTAATTAGCAAAGATAGCATCGAGTTAAAAATTTATAAAAAAAAAAAAATCTAATCTCAATATTTAATCGATGTATTATATTTGTTTATAATAAAAATTCACTATCGCGTTATTTTAATACAAGCTCGTATAAAATGAAGGATTACAAATTATTTGTGAATAATTGAAACACGAGTTAAAGGCGTCTGTATTGTTAATCATCAAATAAAATGAATTAACAATAATACATAAATTATTGAAAAAAAGTATCCCTGTCGTATTAACAAAATATATTATCTAAAACAATTCTCTATAATAATTCATTTAATTAAAAACAAAATAATCACATTCGTATTTTTTGAAAAATACACCTGCACTTTAACGCAATATCAATTATTACCAAAATATATCGTAGAAAAATTAAAAAAGAAAACAAAAAAACAAAAAAATATATCATATATATATATATACCGTCTAAAAACATAACTCAGTGTTCTCCATTTATCAGAATCACGTTCAAACGATTTAATCTCGTACAATTAATTAAAAAATATAACGAAACGAAACAAATCGAAAAACGAAACCAAACAATAATAACAGCGCACGATAAAGAAAAATCCGCATTATTTTTTTTTTGGTGATCAACAAATGTAGCGTAGAATGTAGGTTGTTGTTTCTATTTGATGAAAATATATTATGTAACTGGCACCGACACCTTTTCCGCATGTGACGGCCATTTTCTCGCAGCTATGGCGATCCCAGAGAGATCATAAATAAAATGCCCTAGCCATCTATCTATCGTGTGGATACCAGGGAGGAGGAGAAAGAGGAAGAGGAGGAAGAGGAGGGGGAGGAGGAGGAGAAAGAAGAAGAAGAAGAAGAAGATGATGAGGGGGAGGGGGTGGTGCGCGAAAGCGTTACGCGTTCGAAATGCCCCCGACTAACTCTATTTTCGGCCTAGCATCGAGCTACGAACGGAATCCCGAACTCCAAACCGTTGATGGTTAAGAAAAAGGAAACGTAACGGATTGCGTCTGGGTTTTCTGAGCCTTAAGTGCAATAGGGAGGAGGGTATTATATGTACAGGGTGTTCCAGCAACTTCCATCAGTTCAACTTTTCGCATACATGATTGAGAAATAACGAAAATTGACAATAACGAAAAGAAATTTTATAAACGCACGAATCCAATAAAAAACTTTGTTTACGAGTTTACATTTACGATTAGTCCGACGACATATGTTGTTTTCATTTTTATGCTCAAAGGTTTTTTTTTTTTTTAAAAAAACGTTGCGATTAAAAACATATAGGTGTAATTTGTAAATCAACATTTGGAATTTTGGATAATGTAAAAATTTACTTAAGGATTTTGACAACGACAAGATTAGTCCCGATATAACACGCAATATATATATATTTTTGTTTTTAAAACAATATCATAAAAAAAGATGGTCGATAAATATTTATAAATTTGTGTTTTAAAAAAGATAATAAAAAGTATACGAGCAAAATAAGGAATATATTAGAAAAGTATTTTACACTGAGATTAATTCTTTTCTGCATATTAAAAAAGGAGACAACAACACAAAAAAAAAACATATAAAATCGGATTGTTTCTACTTTTAAGTTCCCATAAAAACAAGGAAATACTTTTAATTGTCTATAGCTCGATAACAAAGTTACCAGGCTCGTGTTTATAGAAATTATTTCTTTTTTTCATTATTTTAATCATATTAATATAATAAGCTTATGAAATTAAGTTTAAATTACCTGGAACAGCTTGTAAATAAATAAATAAATAAATAAATAAATACGAAAAAAGAGATAGGAAAAGCTTTAGAAAAAAAGAGTAAGTGTGGGAGTGGTGTTAGTAGATAACAAAAGGGGGAAGATTAGAAAGAGATAAAAGAAGAATCAACGAAGGACAGTCAATCTTCTTAAACGAAAAGATAAAATGAGATGAGATGAGAGGAAAAGATAGATAGTCTGAAGGATCTTCTACGTTGTGTTGAAGGAGAACAACTCGATTTCTAGTATCAAAGGGACTACCACTCTCCGATTACCTCGAAATGACGATAAGAGAGTAAAGCTGGGGTTTTTTTTGGGAGGAGGAGGGGTGTGGAAGGTGGAAAAGAAAAATATCCGTGTTGATGTGATGATGCTTATCGGTAAAAAAAAATTGTGTATATATAAATACGTGTGTATCCCTCTTAATATATTTATTTACTCATTTATTTATTTATTTATTTATATATGTTATATATATATATATATTTAATGTTGTTCTTATACTGATGAACTTACCGCCATTGTGTTTCGACGATGTGTATTGCCATCGAGGATGCACATAACCGCGTAGATGTCGTAGGTCGTAGAAAAGAAGGTCGTTGTTTCTATCCCTTTTTAACCTTCCTTCTTTTTTCCCCTATTTATTTATTCTTTCTCTTTCTTCGTGCATATCTGCCCTTTTTCTCTTTCCATATATATATATATATATCTCTCTCTTTCTATCCTTTCTTATTCCTTTTGTCTCTCTCCCTTTCTCTCTCTTTCACACTCTCTCTCTCTTTCTCTCTCTCTCTCTCTCTCTCTCTCTCTTATTCTTACTCTCTTTTCCATAGTTTTGCCCTCACTCCCCCTCTCTCATTCTTTTTCATAGTCGATCGTAAAACCAACTTACTTTTAACTCCACCTCCTCATCCTCCTCCTCCTCCACTTATTTTCCGTAAGAAGTCGTAAAAAGGGGAGGGTTGGTGGTGTAAGTCGCGATAAAAAAAAAAAAAAATAGAATCAGAGAGATAGACACAGAGAAAGATAGAGATAAGAAATGAGGGGGTTGGTATTGATAGAAAGAGAAGGATAAGAAGTGAAAGAGAGACAAATATAAGAAAGGGAGAAAGAGAGAGAGAGAGTCGTAGATCTGCCTAAGTTTGGGCCCTTCTCGCTCACACTGGGCACCCTTCTTTGTACTCCGTACTCCACACGTGAATCCATCATCGCTCCCGAGTGTCAACAACGAGTAGGCAGCATCTGCACACAGACAAACATTCCAACATAACACCCCCTTTCTTATCATCAGTAGCATTATTGTCATCGTCATCGTTTATCGGTTATCTTATATATTTTTATCATTGGTGTGTGGTGGTGGCTACTTTTTATATATATATATATATATATATGTATATATATTTTTGTTTGTTTGTTTATTTATTTATTATCATTTCATCGTTGTATTTATTAATCATCATATATATTCGGTCATTATATTTTATCCTCATCGATTTATAAAGATCGGTCATATCGTTATTTTATCATCGTTATTATTATTATTATTATTA